ACAACAAAATATGTATTTTATCAAAGTAATTGTTGAACTGAAATACAATTAAGAAGAAGTATATTAATAGTGAATTGGGGGGGGGCAAGAGAGTGGGGCCCTAAGCTATAGCTTGTTTAGCTTATATGTAAATCCAGCACTGGATGTACTTGATCTTTAAGTTCTTACAAGAGGGATCACCAACAAAACATTGCAGTGTATCCTCACACCCTAATGGGAGAGCTCTTGCCAGCCATTCCCTCCTCTAACATGCCATTCCATCCTTCCCCAGTTTTCTGCTCTCGTTTCCCAACACACAAGTCCATGGTTGCTGAGAATGCTCTTTTATTGCTGCCCCATTTCGGGTGGTAATTTCCACTTCTTAGTAGTGGTGGTTGGGGGTTTGACGAGTGGGAAAGATGATGATGATGATGATTTTAAACCTCAGAGTTTCTTCTTTCTCAATGGCCCCACTTTGACATGACTCCTGTTTGCACCCCGACACAATAAAGCAGGTTTAGCTCACAGCTACTGTGAACCCACCCCCCATGGATCACTGCCTTGTCGTGGTGAAGGGGCTTGAATAACTCAGAGAAGCTATGAGCTATGCCATGCAGAGCCACCCAAGATGGACAGGTCATAGCCGAGAGTTTAGACTAAATGTGATCCACCTGGAGAAGGAACTGGCAAACCACTCCAGTATTTTGCCAAGAAAACTCCATGGACATAAAAAAGGAGAAGCTTTGAGGAGAAAATGAGAGTTTCCAACGCATGGGGTCACAGAGAGTCAAACACAACTAAGACGACTAAACAACAGCAACAACTGTGAACCCCACCAGCCACTCTTATTTGTTCTCTCTTTTTATAGAAAAGGAAATTTGGGGGTTGAACTAAGGCTGTGTGCACACGAATCGTAGTAGAAAATAATGAGTTGTTCTCAACCCAGAATCCTTGCTGCTCATCCTCAACAAGCTGCTCTCGATCTAGAGAGACAGTGCGGTGCAGTGGTTAGAGTGTGGACCTTGAAGCCCGGTGGGTGTGACCTTGGGGGGCAGTCACTGCTTCTCAGCCTAGCCTACCTCACAGGGTTGTTGTGGGGACTAAATGAGGAGGGGGAGAACCATGTGTGCCACCATGAGCTCCCGGGAGGAAAAAGTAGGATATAAATGCAATTAAGGAATAAATAGTTTGACTCTAGATCATCCACAAGGTTGGGTATGGTTACTTGATTCACATTTGAAGATCGTGAATGGTGAATGTAGATAGTACAAGAATACTTGGCTAGTTTAGATGTATTCAAGTCTCCAGGGCCAGATGAACTGCATCCAAGAGTATTAAAAGAACTGGTAGATGTGATCTCAGAACCACTGGCAGTCATCTTTGAGAATTCCTGGAGAACAGGCGAAGTCCCGGCAGACTGGAGGAGGGCAAATGTTGTCCCTATTTTCAAAAAGGGGAAAAGAGAGGACCCAAATAATTACCGCCCAGTCAGTCTGACATCAATACCAGGGAAGATTCTGGAGCAGATCATTAAGCAAACAGTCTGTGAGCACCTAGAAAGGAATGCTGTGATCACCAATAGTCAGCATGGATTTCTGAAAAATAAGTCATGTCAGACTAACCTGATCTCGTTTTTGACAGAATTACAAGCCTGGTAGATGAAGGGAACGCAGTGGATGTAGCCTACCTTGATTTCAGCAAGGCATTTGACAAGGTGCCCCATGATATTCTTGTAAAGAAGCTGGTAAAATGCGGTCTTGACTATGCTACCACTCAGTGGATTTGTAACTGGCTGACTGACCGAACCCAAAGGGTGCTCATCAATGGTTCCTCTTCATCCTGGAGAAGAGTGACTAGTGGGGTGCCACAGGGTTCTGTCTTGGGCCCGGTCTTATTCAACATCTTTATCAACGACTTGGATGATGGACTCAAGGGCATCCTGATCAAATTTGCAGATGACACCAAACTGGGAGGGGTGGCTAACACCCCAGAGGACAGGATCACACTTCAAAACGACCTTGACAGATTAGAGAACTGGGCCAAAACAAACAAGATGAATTTTAACAGGGAGAAATGTAAAGTATTGCACTTGGGCAAAAAAATGAGAGGCACAAATACAAGATGGGTGACACCTGGCTTGAGAGCAGTACATGTGAAAAGGATCTAGGAGTCTTGGTTGACCACAAACTTGACATGAGCCAACAGTGTGACGCGGCAGCTAAAAAGCCAGTGCAATTCTGGGCTGCATCAATAGGAGTATAGCATCTAGATCAAGGGAAGTAATAGTGCCACTGTATTCTGCCCTGGTCAGACCTCACCTGGAGTACTGTGTCCAGTTCTGGGCACCACAGTTCAAGAAGGACACTGACAAACTGGAACGTGTCCAGAGGAGGGCAACCAAAATGGTCAAAGGCCTGGAAACGATGCCTTATGAGGAACGGCTAAGGGAGCTGGGCATGTTTAGCCTGGAGAAAAGAGGAGGTTAAGGGGTGATATGATAGCCATGTTCAAATATATAAAAGGATGTCACCTAGAGGAGGGAGAAAGGTTGTTTTCTGCTGCTCCAGAGAAGCAGACACGGAGCAATGGATCCAAACTACAAGAAAGAAGATTCCACCTAAACATTAGGAAGAACTTCCTGACAGTAAGAGCTGTTCGACAGTGGAATTTGCTGCCAATGAGTGTGGTGGAGTCTCCTTCTTGGAGGTCTTTAAGCAGAGGCTTGACAACCATATGTCAGGAGTGCTCTGATGGTGTTTCCTGCTTGGCAGGGGGTTGGACTCGATGGCCCTTGTGGTCTCTTCCAGCTCTATGATTCTATGATTCTATGATTCTATGAATGGTGAGTGGTGATTGTAAGGTAGGTTTATTAAAAAGCTCATTAAAAGTGAGAAGAGTGTGGGTAAAGTTATCATGCTTGCACAAAAACCAATCTCCTGTTTGCGTGCAATAGCTTGCAAGCAGCCTTCACTACCAATCTTTTGATATGTTTCCCACCACAAACATCTCGCTGGCGTGCTCGATCCCGTGAGCTCGTAACACTGCTCAGCTAACTGCCTGTGGGCTGTGCCTTGTGTTGGTATTACACAGCAAACTTACAGAAGACCTTTTCTTCTTTCCTTGTTTGAAAAACGCAGTTCCTCACCAGGGCTGTCAGCTATTGGGAGCATGCACTGCCAACAGCAGAGAAGATAGGAAATAAGCATTTATTATGTGGAGAGCGCTATCCCATCCTGCAGCTTTTAGCAATCGGTATTCAGAAGCAATTTGTTGTTGTTTAGTCGTTTAGTCGTGTCCGACTCTTCATGACCCCATGGACCAGAGCACGCCAGGCACTCCTGTCTTCCGCTGCCTCCCGCAGTTTGTTCAAACTCATGCTGGTAGCTTCGAGAACACCATCCAACCATCTCGTCCTCTGTCGTCCCCTTCTCCTTGTGCCCTCCACCTTTCCCAACATCAGGGTCTTTTCCAGGGAGTCTTCTCTTCTCATGAGGTGGCCAAAGTATTGGAGCCTCAGCTTCAGGATCTGTCCTTCCAGTGAGCACTCAGGGCTGATTTCCTTAAGAATGGAAAGGTTTGATCTTCTTGCAGTCCATGGAACTCTCAAGAGTCTCCTCCAGCACCATAATTCAAAAGCATCCATTCTTCGGTGATCAGCCTTCTTTATGGTCCAGCTTTCACTTCCATACATCACTACTGGGAAAACCATAGCTTTAACTATACGGACCTTTGTTGGCAAGGTGATGTCTCTGCTTTTTAACTGTGCGAGTGAGCTCCATAGTTTAGCCATGTGCTGTGTGTGAATAGGTACCTTTTTAAATAATATTTTTTATTAATTTTCCAATTTTTTGACAATATTATCACATCGTATCACCTTTTACAAATTTTCAGCTGTGTGTGAATAAGTACTTTATTTTCTCTGTTCTGAATCTTCCAACACTCAGTTTCGTTGGATGTTACGAGAGTGGGAGACAAAACTTTTCTCTGTCTACTTATAAGTATGGCAGCTTCCTATGTTCCAACCTCTGTGTGTATGTTTTTAGGGCTGTTTGTTTTTTCAAGGTTAAGACATACTTGGAAGGTGGGGGGGACGACACATCTGAGTCAATAGATTGTTTTCCCATCCCCAAGTTCCAGTTGTATAAGTCGACCATCCATTCCTCCATCCAATACACACAGAAAGAGAGAACAAAATCCAGGAGGCTGCAGTATATTTTATTTCATTATCTTAATGCAGGAAAGCTTTGAAATGTATACTCTCTCCATCTATTCAGCTGGTTTTAAGAAGAAAAAAGGTGGACCAAGCAAATGATACCAAACTTGAGAAGTTAATTAAATTATCCTATTAAACAGAGGCAGGATATGGGGCGACAGAGGCCAAAGAAAATAGGGGGTGAACAAGACCCTCTCAATTTCTGCACTGTAGCATACTTTCCATGTCAGCATTTTGTTAAGGAAACTGCTGTCTCTGCTCCCCTGCTCCCTAGAAATATTACTTCAGGTCACTTTGTTTCACAATGTCTTCACCCTGTTTTCGTTCTGTTCAGGTCACTCTGTCTTCACTTTGTTTCACTCTGTCTTTACTTTGTTTCACTCTGTTTTCACTGTGTTCAGGTCAGTCTTTTTCAGCATTTCATTACTGCTCTCTCTGCTTCCGCCTCCCCAAAAATATCACTCCGGGACCCTCTGGAAGGCTCTAAAGCAGAGACGGGAGAGCTGCATCCCAGTGTGAGAGAGCCAGTGTGGTGTAGTGGTTAAGAGTGGTAGTCTCGTAATCTGGGGAACCCGGGTTCGCGTCTCCGCTCCTCCACATGCAGCTGCTGGGTGACCTTGGGCCAGTCATACTTCTTTGAAGTCTCTCAGCCCCACTCACCTCACAGAGTGTTTGTTGTGGGGAGGAAGGGAAAGGAGAATGTGAGCCGCTGTGAGACTCCTTAAAGGGAGTGAAAGGCGGGATATCAAATCCAAACTCTTTTCTTCTTCTTCTTCTTCTTCTTCTTCTTCTTCTTCTTCTTCTTCTTCCACAAGTCATTGGACTTCCACCTGTGCTGGCTGTGGCTGATGGAAGGCACCACTATGGCTTCCCTTGGGCTACACCCTAAATGGACAAAAAGTCATTACGGTGCTGTCTATTTTCTTCTCAATCTCTTGCCTAATAATTGCCTATGCATTTTCTGCTTGCATTGATTTCTTAGGGGGAGAGCTGAGCATATGGGAGGTGCCGTCTGGATGGGCTGTCTCCTACCTAAAGTAGTCTTGATGCCAAAAAAATCTTTGTAAGTACCGCAAGGACGTGATGAAAAGGAATGTGGAGTTGCAAAGGCAGGAGACAAAGTCCTTTTAGGCTAATGAGTCTGCTTGTGTTGAGGGTTCATGTCAGCCCCACCTCTGTCCTTAGTCTGCTCTCCTCCTTGCCTGTCTGCTAATGTCTCCTTGCATTTATTAATAACATTTGCTTTGATGGTTTCTAAACACTTGACGATTGGTTCCAGATGTGCAATGCTTTGATTGCAAAAAGTGTTTCTCTCTGGAAACTTCCTCTTTCATTTTAATTGGAGCATTTGCCTTTTTGCTGCGCTTTAAAAAAAAATCAAAATCTTTGTAAGACAATGTACCCTCTTCCGATTCAAGTTTTGTTTATTCTCCATGGAGCATTGTTTAACCTTTGGAATGAATTAGTCCATTCATTCATCCATTGGTCCCCTTGCATTTGGTATCCTTTTGGATGATGCAGTTTATCCGCTGCAGAGGAGAGAGAGGCACTTAACACCTTGGCCTCAATTCAGTTAAAGCTGAATAGGACAAATTCAGGGAGGTGGGAAGGATATCCACACCTTTAGTTAATATGGATATGTAGATCCTGTTGTTGAACTCTTGTTTTGTGACAACCCAATGAGTGTGTTGGTTAGTCGTTTAGTCGTGTCCGACTCTTCGTGACCCCATGGACCGGAGTACGCCAGGCACTTCTGTCTTCCACTGCCTCCTGCAGTTTAGTCAAACTCATGCTGGTAGCTTCCAGAACACTAAACAACCATCTCGTCCTCTGTCGTCCCCTTCTCCTTGTGCCCTCCATCTTGCCCAACATCAGGGTCTTTTCCAGGGAGTCTTCTCTTCTCATGAGGTGGCCAAAGTATTGGAGCCTCAGTTTCAGGATCTGTCCTTCCAGTGAGCACTCAGGGCTGATTTCCTTAAGAATGGAAAGGTTTGATCTTCTTGCAGTCCATGGGACTCTCAAGAGTCTCCTCCAGCACCATAATTCAAAAGCATCAATTTTTCGGCGATCAGCCTTCTTTATGGTCCAGCTCTCACTTCCAATACGGATAAATAAATCTGAATGTGAGGCGAATCAGGAAGTATTCTTCCTTTGCAGGTAGAACAACCAGACATGGTCTAAGGCAGGGCTTCCCAATGGGAGCAGTAGCGCCCCCTGGGGGTGGGATTACCTAGAGGGGCAAGGAGAGGTAAGGGGGCAATAGGGGGCTGTTGGAGATGTCAATAACTATCAGGCTTTGAAAAGCTGGCATCACAGGATCGACTTTGTCAATTTTGTTGAATTAATTAAACTCAATAGTTTTAACAGGGTTTTGAATAAATGTGCAATAAATTGCTATTGTCTCGAATGTTGTTGTGGGTTGTAGTGGGTTGTAGAAACCACTGTTCGGAATAAAGCTGTTTATAGGGTTGGGAAAGGGGGCGCTGGGGATGAGTTTATGGAACAAAGGGGGGGCTGTCCAAAAAAAGCTTGGGAACCACCGAAGCATCTGAAACAGCACAGAATTCTGAGTATTTAGGTGGACCAAGGTGACTGATTCCAAAGCCTGTCCGGTGAACCTTTCAGTTAGCCAATTAAACCTAGGCACCTCATACAGTGGTACCTCAGGTTACAAATGCTTCAGGTTACATACGCTTCAGGTTACAGACTCCGCTACCCCAGAAATAGTACCTCAGGTTAAGAACTTTACTTCAGGATGAGAACAGAAATCGTGCTCCGACGGTGTGGCAGCAGCAGGAGGCCCCATTAGCTAAAGTGGTGCTTCAGGTTAAGAACAGTTTCAGGTTAAGAACGGACCTCCAGAACAAATTAAGTACTTAACCCGAGGTACCACTGTAATGTTTCACATTCCAAAGAAAGCAGTTTGCAGGCTACAGCTGAATGACAGTCCACCCCTGTTCGTACTGTTACGGTAAGGTCTGATGTCAGCATTTCCTATATTGGTACTTAATTATTTCCCACAACCACCCAGCCAGTGTTTATGATAGCAATGTAGCAGTGTTTATGCACGCCCACTCCTGCAAAAGGCTGGTTCCCTGCAACCTTAAAGGCAGAGGGGTGTATGTGTGTATGTTTCAAAAATCACTGCCGAGAAATTTGAGGCCGGGGTGGTTGAGATGGTGGCCCCCAGATCTTATGGGACTCTAAGGCCACATTCATATTTAAAGCACTATGATTCCATTCAAAGCACTATGGTAGTGCTTTAAACAGACATGGCTAACCCCAAAGCATTATGGGAGCTGTAGTTTGTTAAGGATGCTGAGAGTTGTTAGGATGCCCCGATTCCCTGCACAGAACTACACATCTCAGAGAGGATTTCAGCAAGTAAACTTTGTCATTGCTGAAATCCTCTCTTCTGTCCAGCTATTAAAGTTTCAGAAGGCCTCTCCTCTCTTTCCATCTGGCCAGTCTGATAATGAGCACTTTCACCAGATTTACCACAGTTCCTAATAATATTTGGGGGAAGCCATAAAAAATGGATACAGGATTGTACTGCCTGTGTTTTTTAACTGCTGTATGGAAAAGCACATGAACCTGACCTTTGAAGTGTTTGTAAGTAAACCATTTTTAACTTGCCAAATGTGTGGTCTCTTTCTATGCTAAGGGAAAAGGGGAACTTTGAAAGCAACTTGGAAGGGGTATATTGTAAAAGTCTAACAGCCTATATTTCCATGATTTACTTTTCTGAATATTTTGTGATTTTAAATCTCTGCTGGAGTTCTCTCACCAAAGAGTACTTGCCCTAAACCTGGATCTTAGGCATCTAGGGAATTCTCTTTTTTATTTACCTATTATTCTTTTAAATGAAAGCCAAATTAACCTGCAGAATCAGGCCAGTGACCAACTACTCCTGTTCTCACAGTGGCCAACCAATGCCTGTAGGAAACCCGCAAGCTCGACCTGAGCAGAGGAGCCCTCTCCCCTCTTGCAGTTTCCAGAACTGGGATTTAGAAGCACTGCTGCCTCTGACGATGGTGGCATCAAACCCAGTATTCTCTGGAACTGCATGTAAGCATATGGCGTATTTATTTCTAGCTTTCACCACCAATGAAATGTGAACTGATGGTTTAAAAATACCATAAATAATCAAGTCACTAAAAAGAGTTTTGGAACAATATTTAAGTTGGCCGAGGTGTTCTCGTCTGAAAATGCAGAAACCAGCAATTTATGAGTGATGGCTATTTCTCCCTTTTCATGTTGTTGTTATTATTATTTTTTAATTTATGTGGCCATCTGAAATTGATTCATCAGACCTACAGAATATACCAGTTGCCAGTTCGTTTCTGGGCCTAATTCAAGGTGCTCACGTTTGTGTTTAAAGCCATAATTGATAGGCTCCAAGTACCTGAAGGACCACCTCCTTCCCTATAGATTTTATTGGGTGCTAAGATTGGCGCTGTGGTCTAAACCACAGAGCCTAGGGCTTGCTGATCAGAAGGTCGGCAGTTCGAATCCCTGTGATGGGGTGAGCTCCCGTTGCTCAGTCCCAGCTCCTGCCCACCTAGAAGTTCGAAAGCACGTCTCTTGAAAGAATTCTTGAAAGTGTCTCTTGAAATAATTCCTGACCCTTCCTCTCCCAGGACCCAGCGTGCATTGAGAGTAGTAGAACAGAAAGCTCAGAGGCAGAAAGAAGAGATCAGCTGGCACAGGGATGACGTATACAGTGGTACCTCAGTTTAAGAACTTAATTCATTCTGGAGGTCCGTTCTTAACCTGAAACTATTCTTAACCTGAGGTACCACTTTAGCTAATGGGGCCTCCCGCTGCCGCCATGCCACTGCCGTGCGATTTCTGTTCTCATCCTGAAGCAAAGTTCTTAACCCAAGGTACTATTTCTGGGTTAGTGGAGTCTGTAACCTGAAGCGTCTGTAACCTGAAGCGTCTGTAACCCAAGGTACCACTGTAATAGGAGAGACTGAGGGGGTGGGACTTTACTTGGAACAACGCCATTATCTAAGAGAGACTGCTTTCCTTCGTCTCTTTCTGTGAATATTGAATAAACTACTTGGTAAGAACTCTTCTTGTTTTTCTGCTTCTTTGCATCCCACCGTGGAAGGGATAGGATTCCCTGAAGCCTTGAGCAGGGAACCAGAGACACCTTTGTGAAATTACAAGTTATTCCAACAAGCAGGTTCCTCAGTTGTGTCTTCAGATTTAAAACAGGTCGCAGTACTCATCTCCTGCTCACATTAAGCCAGGTTGGAGGGTTATAAAAAGAACCCATCCCTGTTTCACAAAGATTACCTCCATCCCTTGTCTTTTTCACGTATCCCCTGGTGTTTAATAAGGGGAAGGGGAAGAGGTGGAGCTACATGACACTTCCCAACATTGAGAACATCCCGTTTCTACATCGCTGACGACAACAAAAAACGAGAATACACAGAAGAACAAGCAGGGAGATGGATACAAAATGGTATCTTCCGTTTTTATTTATAAAAATGCCCAAGATTATCTAACATGGCCTTCAACAACCTGCTGCTCCCCAGTTGTTTTCTACGTCTGATGGCAGTTGTATTCCAAAGCATGAGGAGGGCCCCAGGTTGGTGAAGCCCAGTGAAATATAATTGTTTTCATCTCACTCGGCTTTTTCTGAAGCTGGACCCTCCAAAGAGGCAACAGTGAATAGCCTTCTCTCGATGGATCATCTCAGCATCTTCTAGTCCTTCTCTTCACCATGAGTGATAACGTAAACCAGGTTCTTGTAGTCCAGGTTGCCGGCAGGATCTGGAGGGAATGCGGTGAACGTCTGTTTCATCTGAGAAACAGAAGAAGGAAATAAAGATTGGAAAGGACAGGATGGGAGTTGCATCCCAACTGTCGCAGGTCAGCAATCACACGGTTCAAAGACTGATTGCCTACCCCTGCTCTACCCGTTAGTTGGTACCATTGAAGAGAGCCACTGTAATCATGCAGGAGCCATATTTCTCAGAGTGCTGGCTGCAGCTCAAGGTTCCACAAATGGACCACACTTCACTCAGTGCTGATGTGGAACCTTCCATAGGGAGCTGGTGTCAAACAACAACATTGAGAGCTAGTGTGGTGTAGGGTTAAGAGTGTGGACTTGGGAGACCAGGATTTGGCCATGAAGCTCATTGGCTGACCTAGGGCTAGTCACAGTCTCTCAGCTTAACTTACCTGTCAGGATAAAATGGAGAAGGAGGAGAACTATGCATGGGGGAGCACAAGAATTATTGAAAAGCATTGAAAGTACTCAATAAAGAAGATTGGAAAACGTTTATTGAATATATGGGAAATAATTGTGTACAGCTGAAAACGCTGGCAGCATTAAGATAAATTCAACAGTGTAAATAAGTTTTGTTGGATGCAATAATGGAATACTGAACGGTATAGTTTTTGTAAAATATGCAGGGATTTATGATATGTAAAATGAACCATGGAAAGAGAAGAATGGAAGTCATTGATATGCTAAGGATGTAAAATGAGTATCTTAAATTGTAAAACAGAAAACTTAATTGAAATTATGTACAAAAAAGAAAGTACTCAATAAACTGAGGTTATGCCTTCCCTAGCATCAGCCTGCCCCCCAACCAAAGCCTGCTCCCCCTAAAGTCCTGCTCTTGGGGGTATTTTTACTTTTTACCCGTGACTTCTCCAACTTTAGGGGGCAATCTCATAAAAAGAGCTCAACAACTTTGGTGGATTTCCAAAAAAAAGCTGAACAACTTTGTCTGCCCCCCACAAACAAAAATCCATGGCTCCGCCCATGGAACCATGTAGGCCACCTTGAACACCTTGGAGGGAAAAGTGGGATATAAAGGAAATAAATAGAGAAATTGGGAAGGTTAGAAGTTCCCCCTCTAAAGGACCATCAATCTATCCATCCTAGACCAGCTCTTTCCCCCATTTATCTCAAGATAACCAGACTCCCAGGGACTACCCCTGGCAATCTCATGATGCCATCTCAACCATCAAATCCGGAACGAAACAAAAAAATTGGAAATCGTTCTTGTCAAATAGAAAAATCTTCACATTTTCAGGAAAAAAAGGAGTGCAGCATGTAAGGAATCTTACCTCCTCTTCAGTAAACCGGTCTGCCTGTGTCATGAGCATTTCCTTCATGCTGTTTGAAATAAAGCAAATCTATTTAAGGGCCACAGAGGAGGCCACAATTGCAATCTTTTGCACTGTGCTCAAACCTAACAGGAGTACATAGCAGTACGAATGCAGTGCTGGCGCCATTATGGCTGAAGGTGTGGAATCATAGAACTGTAGAGTTGGAAGGGATCCTATTCCAGCCTCCTGCAATGCAGGAATCACAGATCCACTATGTCCCATTGTATTCCCCTCTTGCTAGAGAAGCAACGGCACGTGAACAGAGCCAGGTCAGTATGTCTAAGGGTGTAACTGGCGGTGCTTGGAACGGATGGATTCAAGTGAACTAATTTGCTGAATTAATTCAGAAAGCTCTGAGTCACATCTGAAAGTAGTTTCTGCAATGTCTGGGTGAACCGAACAGGAATTAAGTTACTTTTGTGCTGATTTTTTGGAGGCCGCTTTTTAATTCACACACACACACGTTTCATTACATTCATTGTGTTTCAATGCAGTCATCATTTCCCCCTCTATCTGTAAAAGGGATGTTGCTGTTTAAGCTTAGGAATCGTTGGGGGAAATAGACAAAACAACTGTTCCTGTTGTATAACATGTGCCTTTGGATATTTTCTTACTGTTCTTAAGTACATTTTATCCTTCAGGTGAGAAGCTAGTGAAACTCTCAAGACTGAAAAAAATTGCCATGTGAATGAATTTTGAATTGAACTGTGAGAATTGAACTGGAGCAGAAGTTGTTCCTTTTTGGAGGGGGTGAACTTGCACTGGAACTAATCCTGTTTGGGAAGGGGAGAACTGGAACTGGAACTCATTCTCTTTGAAGGCAGACTTCCCAAGTTCTTATAATCTGTTTTGCCACCAAGAGAAATGGGATGCTGGACAAGACGAGCCACTTTTGGTCTCACTGTTTCCACTGTTTCCATTTTTCCTCCTCTGTGTCCACCTGTCTGTATCTGGCAACTGTCCTTAATCTGTTGACTCCAGTCCATGAAACCTTCTGCCGCAAGACTCTTCTATTGATTTGGTTTCCAAAGAGGCTCCGTCCTCTCTCTCTCTCTCTTTCAGAAAGCAACCAATGTCACTTGGCATATTCTGTTCACATGCATCCAGTGTTTTTGGAAAGAATGTGAGGCCAGATTGGGGGCGGCGGGGGTGGCTGAGGTGGTGGTGGCGAAGGAGGAGGATCAAATACAATTTTGAGCTTCAGAAGCACAGCACGGCAGCCTCTGGCACCATTACACATAAGAAGGACTGAGTAAAGAACCCAACAGTTTCCATTATTTATTTTATAGAGAAACAAAGACTCAGATTTTCCTAACTAAGAAGCCGTGAGCTTCCCTGCAGTTGTTGTTTTCCATATTACTTGTTGCTTTGCGGGGAGGGAGGAGACAACAACCCCCAAAATCAGACACATAGAAACAAACTGGGTTTATAAAAACAGCTCCTGCCCTGGGGTCCTGATGGTATCTGTCGCGGCCAGTTTCAGCTCGTTCCAATATTTTCAGTCCCAATATTTGGTTTCCTAGTAAGTCACAGAGAGCTGCGCTTTCTTTTTTTCCAAAAACGAAATGGCATGGAACAAGTTGTGCGTTAATTGAGATAATCTGGCGCACATTGTAGCCTCAAGAAGAGGGCGGTGGGGCTGTGGGCAACATCAGTGATGTCTGGATGAAGATCCAAGAAGGATTTGATCCTTCTGTGGCTCCATCAGACTGTCTCCTGCAGCCTTGGGGAAGAAACAATTGAGACTCACAACTGGATCTTCCTACTCTTTGCACTTAAACAAAAGGAAAGTGGAAGTTCCTTAGGCACCTAATTCTGATCTTTCTAAGCTAGTGGACTCAGCGGCGGAGGAAGCCGATTGGGTGGCTGGGGCGGTGGGCGTGCCTTGCGCCCAGGGGCGGGGCCAGCCAGGGCAGGATGCTCTGTAGGGCCTCCAGGGAGTTTTCCTGCCTCCTCCCCCTCAGCCGCCTTACAGCTGAGGGGGAGGTGGCAGGCGGACTGTTTGGGACAGCGCGGAGCCTGCGGGAGCCCAAGCCACTGCGTCACTCCCAGGAGAGAGATGTGACTCAGGCGCGCTGCAGGCCCCGCGGTGCGTGCCGCCTGGCATTTTGTCACCCCCCTCAGTGGTGACACCCGGGGCGTGCCGCCCCCACCGCGCCCCGCTTCCTCCGCCCCTGAGTGGACTCTCTAATTATGGAGAACAATCCTCTTCATTTTGAAAAAGGGAGGAACAGAAAATTCCCTCTTGGGACAAAGAGTATCTGAAGGCCACTGCAACACAGAATCGAACTGAAAACTGGCCTATTACACCCTTAAGTTCACATGCTAGAAACCTCCTTTGATTGTTGGTTGAAGATTGACAAGTAAGTCGAAAGAGGAGAGGCAACTGAACTCCCAATCCCATATCCTCCAACATTTCTGTGATGAAAATAAGGATGTCCTATTATGACAAACCTAGACACATCTTAAAAAGCAGAGATATCACCTGCCAACAAAGGTCCGTATAGTTAAAGCTATGGTTTTCCCAGTAGTGATGTATGAAAGTGAGAGCTGGACCATAAAGAAGGCTGACTGCCGAAGAATTGATGCTTTTGAATTATGGAGCTGGAGGAGACTCTTGAGAGTCCCATGGACTGCAAGAAGATCAAACCTCTCCATTCTTAAGGAAATCAGCCCTGAGTGCTCACTGGAAGGACAGATCCTGAAGCTGAGGCTCCAATACTTTGGCCACCTCATGAGAAGAGAAGACTCCTGGAAAAGACCCTGATGTTGGGCAAGATGGAGGGCACAAGGAGAAGGGGACGACAGAGGACAAGATGGTTGGACAGTGTTCTCGAAGCTACCAGCATGAGTTTGACCAAACTGCGGGAGGCAGTGGAAGACAGGCGTGCCTGGCGTGCTCTGGTCCATGGGGTCACGAAGAGTCGGACACGACTAAACGACTAAACAACAACAACAACAAAAACAAACAAAAACAAAAACAAAAACTGTCCCTGCATGTAGAGAACTAGCACATCAGGGAAAGTGTTGAAGGGGCTGAAGCGGCTCTATCCACTACACAATGCTCCCCCTCCTACTTTACCTGCACCCACACAGTTAATGCCACTTCTAGTCTTATCCTGGGAGAGGAGGATCAAGGGCACCCACAATTTCATAATACAAAGTGGAATATAAATGCGTAATTCGTAACTGCAGGGTTTTTCTTGCTGGAAAAGGACACCCACAACACCCCACCAAAAACGGTCCCTGCCCAACCTAGCCAAAGTAACAAGACAATTTCATTAGCTCATCACCACACAACAGAACATACTGTTTTCTTATTAGACCCAAGGGTAATGTCAATCATTACATAACAAACCATTAAATCAATCCCATGGCTGCATTTGATGCTCAGCCTCATTTCACATAATTCCAGCATTTAGACATTTGACTCTAATAATTTTTTTAGCATGGCTCACACATCCCTTTGAAAGTCTTTCTGCTTTCAAGGCGATGGTTGCTATTCATTAATAGCATTTCTCCATGCGAAGAAGGAAAGACAACAGCACAATTCTCCCCCCCACACCTCCATTGGCGGTGACTGACCTTTTAATAAGAACCTTCATCTAATTAACATCCTTTTGGGGCATTTCATTTTTTCCACTGCGTGTTTTCACCTCTCACTTGGAAAATGTGACTCATTTGGGAGTTTTGGAACTGATTTTGAATGTGATGGCAAAGATATGTGATATCTATATTGCCTTAAACACCATACTCTTACCACAAAAAGAGATAGATGAGAAAGAGATTGGGCACACCGTCCTTTGTGATGTTGAAGCTCAACAACAGCCTCCTTCCAAGGTGGGCAAACAAAACAAAAACTGGCATGGCATTTGGAAAAGTTTGGCGATTCAGGTTGCAAAGTTCCCTTGACGTTTATGAGGTTTACTCACAAGCAAGAGAGCACAGCGTTGCGATTATGCTTCCCACAGCTGTCCAATAACAGTCTTGTTGATACGAAACAGCACTCCACAAATTTGCACCAACTTGGACCGTGACGGAAATTAGCTATATTTAAAGTGTGGCCAACCACCTTCTCCAAAGTCCACATTTTCAAAGCCCAGAATATCCCATTTCCTTCCCCGCTTGTTTGCAAGGAATGTGCGTATATGAGAGACCTGCACATACATGACGCCAGAGCCCTCTCCTTCCTTCCATATCCTGTTTGCAGAAGCAATGCTTCGTTTCCTGAGCAACGCAGGAAGTCATTGTGGATCCAACCTCACATCCACAGGTGAGCTCACGGACAAGAACAGAAGGCAGGCACATCCAATTGCATGCCCCTCTAGGAGTGCAGACCATCCAAGTGTCCCTGTTTTCCAGGGGCAGTCCTGGATTTACAGAAGCCGTCCCAGTTTCTGATTTGATCCAAGAATGTCCACTTTTCTTTAGAACATCCCTTTTTCTTCAGAGAAGTGTTAGAGGGTATGGAATTTGTTGTTGTTCAGTCGTTTAGTCATGTCCGACTCTTCGTGACCCCCTGGACCAGAGCACACCAGGCACTCCTGTCTTCCACTGCCTCCCGCAGTTTGGTCAAACTCATGTTGGTAGTTTCGACAACACTGTCCAACCATCTCGTCCTCTGTCGTCCCCTTCTCCTTGTGCCCTCCATCTTTCCCAACGTCAGGGTCTTTTCCAGGGAGTCTTCTCTTCTCATGAGGTGGCCAGAGTATTGGAGCCTCAGCTTCAGGATCTGTCCTTCCCATGAGCACTCAGGGCTGATTTCCTTAAGAATGGATAGGTTTGATCTTCTTGCAGTCCATGGGACTCTCAAGAGTCTCCTCCAGCACCATAATTCAAAAGCATCAATTCTTCAGCTATCAGCCTTCTTTATGGTCCAGCTCTCACAAAAAGAAGGCTGATTGCCGAAGAATTGATGCTTTTGAATTATGGTGCTGGAGGAGACTCTTGTTTACATGGGGATTAATTTGTGTCTGCAGCGCAGAGTAGCGTGCATGGGAGCAAATAGAGGCTGAAGATGGGTTAAAACTGGCCCAGACCTTTATTGGTGACAGCAAACGGTCTCCCTCAGAAGGTGATGGACTCTCCTTCCTTGGAGGTCTTTAAGCAGAGGTTGGATGGCTATCTGTCATGAATGCTTTAGCTGGGATTTCTGCATTGAAGGGGGTTGGACTAGATGACCGTTGGGGTCCCTTCCAACTCTACCATTCCATGATTTGATGATTCTATGACTGCTCACAGAATCTGGAATTCCACAGGACAGGAATCCAGCCATTGGGCAGTGCAATACAACAGACTGGCAATGAGTCACAAACTTGACAGAAGCGAAATTAACATGGGGAAGAGATTCAAAACGAAGTGAAAACTTACTAATCTGCTTTCACATGACCTTTTCCTTCTCTGTCGAAAACCCTGAAAGCATTCAGAATGATCTCTTCCGGATCTGTGCCTATAAGGGGAACAAGCAGAGATTTATATTTCCAATAATTCTGTGCACACATGTATCTGCTGGTTCACACCACATATGAACATAACTTAATCTGATTTCACTCCACTCAATTACTGGGCACTTGAGGACTGGCAGATGAATGTGTGAACATACTCCAGCGGTGAGCACTGGGCATTGTTGGTAGCCCAGACGACTCATGCAAGCCCAGCAAGTCACATGCTAACAGTAAATAAATGATCTCCATTTTCCAATCATCTGTGTAACTAAAGAGCCAACTTTTACCACTTATCACATTAGGGCTCCCCACGAATATTGTCACATACGTGTGTGCACGCATACATACGCAATCTATCACCCTCATCATACTGCAACCTCCTGTGCTGCTTACAGAAGAAGACCAGACCGTTAATTTCTGCATTATCCTAGAAAATGATCCCTATATCAACATTCACAGTCGCCTATGGAGAACGCGGGTGGTGCTGTGGTCTAAACCACTGAGCCTAGGGCTTGCCGATCAGAAGGTCGGCAGTTCGAATCCCTGCGACGGGGTGAGCTCCCGTTGCTCGGTCCCAGCTCCTGCCCACCTAGTAGTTTGAAAGCATGTCAAAGTGCAAGTAGATAAATAGGTACCGCTTTGGCGGGAAGGTAAACGGCATTTCTGTGTGCTGCTCTGGTTTTACCAGAAGCGGCTTAGTCATGCTGGCCACATGACCCGGAAGCTGTCTGCGGACAAACGCCGGCTCCCTCAGCCCATAGAGCGAGATGAGCGCCACAACCCCAGAGTTGTCCGTGACTGGACCTAATGGCCAGGGGTACCTTTACCATTACAGAGAACAGAACTGACACTTAAGCCACCAACAGTCCCATCTCAGTCCTACCAAGAAACTGGGCAACCGAGAGAACAATAGCAACACAGGAGAAGTAGAATATGTAGAATTAGCAAATTTATCTAATAGAATAAGAGATCAGGAAAATGGAGTATTTAAGGACAAGTGGGAAATGTTTGGAGAATAGCTGAAGAATCAGGTTAATCTGGTTAAAACTTTAGCAGGGTTAGTGTAAAGTCAGCAGTGTAAAGTATTATATATATAGGGGGAACGGAGAAATATGAATATATGGGGAAATCACAATATGCAGTTTTAATGGATAAATAAATAGAGCCATGGAAGGGGGGGGGAAGGGAAGTCAATGATTGAAGGTACGGTTATATTCAATGAAATGTGAAACATTGCAATGGAAAATGATAAAGAAAAATTATATATAAAAAAATTAACTGGACAGCCATGTAGGGGCCCAGAATTGGAGAGGTGCCTGCCTCAACTTTATAAATATAAGGTAAACGGTGAAGGACCCCTGGATGGTTAAGTCCAGTCAAAGGTGACTATGGGGTTGTGGTGCTCATCTCGCTTTCAGGCTGAGAGAGTCAGCGTTTGTCCACAGACAACTTTCCAGGTCACGTGGTCAGCATGACTAAACTGCTTCTGGTGCAATTCCCACCTGGAAACCAATGTCCCCACTATGGAAGGCCAGAATTGGCCTCCACAGTCACTTACAGACTCATTGTTAAAACCGTGTTTATGGAAGACAATCTTACTGGTGATCGCCAAAGAAGAAGAATCTACTTGCACTGGCATGCTTTCGAACTGCTAGGTTGGCAGGAGCTGGGACAGAGCAACGGGAGCTCACCCTGTCACGGGGATTCCAACCGCCGACCTTTGGCAAGCCCAAGAGGCTCAGTGGTTTAGACCACAGTGCCACCCGCATCCCTTTTATAAATATGCCTTGTGGAGAAAGGTTGCTACTTGCACTGTTGGGGAAGGGACAAACGTACATTCATACCAATTTTCATGCATATTAACAATATACACATTTTTGAAGACTTTTTCTGCTAGGTGCACATTTTTGCAAGCCGTTTCCCCCCATATAATGAATTTTGTGCCTGCTTTCCCTTAACACACACAGTTATGTGAGCATTTTTCCTTGATGTACATACTGCATTGCTGCACACACACACCCCACGTCTATACCCACAGGAATCGACAAGACTTAAGTCGTAGGTAACACGCTCTTTCAGAGAGGGAGGCTGCTGGTAATCCATAGCAGGGCCTTTATAATTGTGGCACCTGAAATGTGGAACCCTTTCCCCCAGGAGCTGAGCCTGATAGTTTTTCAGCACTTAGTGAAGACTTCTTCTCCACCCCCCTCACCCACACATTTTAGAGGCTGAGTCATTGGAAGGTCACTGGGCATGCTCAGTTCACATTGGGGATTATCCCTGAGGGCTCCCCATCCCTCATTACAAGTTTCTGTACTCCTGTGCACTTTGACATTCTCCCCATACTGCTCAAACCTCTCTTGTGTGTGTGTGGATGGTGCCACATTGGCTCAAAGAAGCAACAGCTCTGAACATCAGAAACAGAGAAAATGATACAGAGGGAAAGGCTGTAGTTCAGTGGCAGAACACCTGCCTTGCATGCAGAAGGTCACAGGTTCAATGCCCAGCATCTCCAGGTAAGATGCCTAAAGCTCCAGAGATTCTCTGGGGACAATAGGAAGCTGGTCTGATTCAGTATATGGCAGATTCCTGTGTTCTCCCCTTTTAAAAAATGTATTTGTTCTCAAGGATAAAAATAATGGGAGGTGGACAAGTTCAGGTGCTTTAATATAAAGACTGCAAACTGTTGCATGTTTGCAGAATAATTTGCTGATTAGCACTCTAGCAGTTTGGGAAAATACAACAGACTGATTCCTCAGATAAGGTAAAGGTAAAGGGACCCCTGACCGTTAGGTCCAGTCATGGCCGACTCTGCGGTTACGGCGCTCATCTCGCTTGATTGGCCGAGGGAGCCGGCGTACAGCTTCCGGGTCATGTGGCCAGCATGGCTAAGCCACTTCTGGCGAACCAGAGCAGCGCACGGAAATGCCATTTACCTTCCCGCCGGAGCGGTACCTATTTATCTACTTGCACTTTGAAGTGCTTTTGAACTGCTAGGTTGGCAGGAGCAGGGACCGAGCAACAGGAGCTCACCCCATCATGGGGATTCGAACCACCGACCTTTTGATCGGCAAGTCCTAGGCTCTGTGGTTTAATAGCTTCCTTTTAATTTCGCACAGTACATCCCTTAAGAAACGCACTCATGTTTTTGGGTGTTCCTTGTTCTTTGTTATAAAGGGTAAAGGTAACTGGTTCCTTTGCTGCTACGTGAAACAAGTATTTATTGCTAAAATACCAGGAAAATATGCCGACCAGTCTCTGCTGGTTGGCATAGACTGGAGGTACAGGCACTGGCAAATGTTGACAGCTTCTCCTATCCTCTGCTAGCATCACAGAATCATAGAATTGTAGAGTTGGAAGGGATTCCAAGAGTCAACTCTCTGCAATACAGGGATCACAACTAAAGAATCCTTGGTAGGTGGTCATCTAACATTTGCTTTAAAAGTTCCAAGGAGGAGAGTCCACCACCTTCCAAGGGAGTCTGTTCCACTGCTGAACAGCTCCTACTGCCAGAACGTTCTTCCTGCTGTTCAGGCGGAATCTCCTTTCTTGTAACTTAAACCATTGGTTTGGCTCCTACGCCCTGGAGCAGCAGAAAACAAGGTCGCTCCATCTTCCATGTGACAGCCCTTCAGGTATTTGAAAATGGCTATCATGTCTCTTCTCTGTCTTCTCTTCCCCAGACTAAACATCCCCAACTCCCTCAACCATTCTTCATAAGGCTAGATTTCCAGGCTGCCCTCCTTTGCACACCTTCCACTTTGTCAGGTGGACAAAGATCCCGTCATAGCTGTCAACATTTCCCTTTTTTTAAGGGAAATTCCCTTATTCCGAATAGGATTCCTCACAAGAAAAGGGAAAAGTTGACAGCTATGGATCCCGTGCTTTTAATAAGTGTGGAGTAGAAGGAATGTCACCCCGTCAAGATTAATAAATAACAAGATTAAAGTTTTTTCTAAAAAAAAATTATTAAAAGATGATCCAAAAAGAACTCCCTTAATAATAATAATAATAAAATTCATCTTGTTATTTATTATGACTCTGACAGACCAACATGGCTACCTACCTGAACCCAGCCACTGCCACCTTCTAGGTTTGTGGGGCAGCCCACAGGGAAAGAGAGAGAAAGCTTGGTGGTTGTTGGGGGTTTGGGGGGGGTAGGTTGTAAAAAGAAAGAAGGGAAGATCCATGGCTATGCATCCCCCAGAAATTATATGCCAATAGCAGATACAGTACTATCATGTCTTGTGCACAATTATCTTGGGTTATTTGAAACCCCGCAAATTAATTGCTTGCAAGGCAGAGAGCTTGAAAACTCCTTTGAGCCGGGTTCTCCCGCTGCGGAAAGAGCTTGTTAAGTTCTCAGACTTGCTTATCAGGCTTTGGGAGGCTCTTGTGAGATATTGTGGGGACTCAAACTGTTATGTACTGAGTTGAATAGGATCCAAAATGCAGCAGTCTGATTGGTCCTAGAACAATAGGATCCAAAATGCAGCAGTCTGATTGGTCCTAGAACAATAGGATTCAGAATGCAGCAGTCTGATTGGTCCTAGAACAACGCAGCAGTATGATTGGTCTGCAGGAACCACCCAATCCGGCTCCAGATGGAAGTGAATCCACAACCTGATTGGCCTACAGGAGAATTCTGGAATTAGCCAATCACGTGCAGTCCATTGTGTAAATAATGTATATAAAGCAGATACTTTGAGGGGACATTCATTCCTCCTCACCACTATGAGCTGAATAAAGAGCATGAAATCCACTCTCGACTCTGAGTATATTTCACAAACGGTCCTCCAAGAGCCCGCAGAAGAGCCTACCAGAGCCTGGTAAGCAACTCTTAAAAGCTCTCTGCCTTGCTTGAAAGCTAAGGATGGCCATACGAGGGTGGTTCGGCTATGCACATTTTTGAAAATCCCTGGAACATAAGCCCAGCACAAGTCACTTTAGAATCATAGAATTGTAGAGTTGGATGGGACCCCAAAGGTCATCCAGTCCAACCCCCTGCAATGCAGGAATCTTTTGCCCAACATGAGGCTAGAACCCATGACCCTAAGATTAAGAGTCTCCTGCTTTACCGACTGAGCTATCCCAGGTCTGTAGACACGATGACACTGTAGGGATTGTAAATTGCTTTCAACTGTTTTTAATATTGTGTTTTAACATTGTAATGCATCCAAGGACCTTTGAGTGAAGGGCAGGTAATTACTGATGACGATGACAATGATTTATACAATTAGCTGTGCTAGAAATCTGTTAAAGCCATCAAAGCATTGTCAGCGCAGGAGCAAGGGGAGAGAGAGCTGGAACTCTAGGAAGAAGCTGGAAACTTTGGTTAGTGATATATATCCCACTGCCAGATGAGCAGCAAACACACCCACCCTCCCGAAAGCATTCTGTGTTAATGTCAGCCACATGGGCCTCTGCTCCACAAAGAGTTGGAGGAAATGCAATTTGTATACCACGCAGAGATGCCGCGCTGTCCTCAAAGAGACCACTTTGTGCACCAGCTAATCAATAGGGAATGCTTGCCGCAGAATTCCACTTCAAAGCTCAAGAGTCCAGTAGGATTACAGACTACAAACTGCTTCTTTTATTTTTTTCCACCCAAAGACAGTATGGGAGGGAGGACACCGCCGCAACACTGATTATTTTTTAAACAAATTTGAGAGATACCAAACTGGCTAGGCAGAGCGAAACAGCAGCAGAGGAAGTGGACTTCTACTGAGTCATACCATTGGTCCATCCTGTTCAGTACAGTACGATCGCGTCTTGCGTGGGGGTTACGTTCCAGGGATGGCGCCTATATGCAAAAGTGTGTGTTGTCCCAAGTGAGCCAGCCACCAGTACAAAGTAAGTGGACTTAACTTTTTATTAGAAAAAAACAGGATCTGCACTGGAGGGTCAGGCCTAAGGAGCACAGCAACTCTTATTTCATAGGTCTTGCCCCCATGAAGCAGTTGCAGAGACTGAAGATCCTCACCTCCAGGGTTTTCCCCAAGCAATCTGAGACCAAGCCTGCATGCCTGTCTTTGCTCTTCTCATTTCATGCCACTTCTTGTCCTGGGAGACCATGGGGGAGGGGAGCTGGTCGCGGAAGGAGAGGGAGACACCCGTGCCTCTTCACTAGCCAGACTCATCTCTCCCTCTTGGCCTCCCTCCTCTCCAGCCTCTGCTTCTGCCTCCGCTTCTGGTCTTCTCTCTGCCACTGATTCTCCCCGCTCACTAAGCCCTGTTACCTCTTCAGCTTCTGACACCACTTCTCCCCAGTCTTCTCCCACTTCTCCCTCTGACCGCTAATTGTCGTCCCACCACCAATTCCCCAGCTCTGAGCCTTCTTCCCTTGGGGGGCTGCCCAGCAGGGGCAGAGGAAGGGGGCAGGGGGGTGAGTCACCCCGGGTGTCACCACTGAGGGGTGTGTGTGACAAAATGCCTTGGGCACTCACCACAGGGCCCGCAGTGTGCCCAAGCTACAGGTCTCTCCTGGGAGTGACGCAGTGGCTTGGGCACCTGCAGGCTCCGCGCTGCCCCAAATGGTCTGTCCACTGCCTCCCTCTCAGTTGTAGGGTGGCTGAGTGGAAGGAGGCAGCCAGACTCCTCGGAGGCCCTCCGGAGAGTCCTGCCCCGGCTCGCCCCACGGGTGGCTGGCCCTGCCCCTGGGTGCAAGGCATGCGCACCGCCACAGGCGCCCGAACAGCTTGCTCCGCCACTGCTCCCCAGCTGACTCACCATTCCTCTGAATTCAACCAGTCCATGACATTGGCATGTATACCTGAACCATCGCTCCATGAACAAAGAATTGCAGGTTGCAAAACTACACTCCAAGCATACCTCGGATTCATACCAACACCAGCAGCTGCCTTCTCTAGGGTCAGACTTTTTGTCCATCTATCCTGGTGCTCATTACTCTGTTGGTTCAAACAAGTCATTTTTGTTAGAATTCCTGCTCCGTGATTGCAGTCATGGGATTGTTGTCTATCACATGACGGTGTGTGTTTTGACTCCACAGAGTGGGACGTGTCGGAGACAGGATGTTTGTGTTACTGTGTTCCATGAAGTGGGACTATTGTCCTTTGTTCTTTTCTTTCTTTCTTCTTTTTTGCTGTCTAATCCTAGAGAGAGAGAGCCATGTTCAGTGCTCCGTGTGTGTTTATATGTAAATAAAGTAGATTAGCCAAAATGCTGAGTTGCTGAGGTCTGTCACGCGAACTGCGAAGACTCTGTGGATCCCTAAGTGTGCCGATGTCCGTTGGCATCGGTCGCTGTGATGTTTGGGCTGAAGAAAGCTTTTGAAGCTCCCGAATGATCGACCAGGAGGGAGAGAACATGCCAGTTGGACATGTGACTCTACCAGGGTCCTACTTGAGTGTAGGACGAGCTCCTGACAATTTTTCCATGTTACCTGCTATCGGGTCCTTCTGACTGGAGGGCCAAGGAATGAACCTAGGACCTCTACATATGCAACATGTGCTCTGCCATTGAGCCAGGGTCCCTCCACACCAGTTAAACTGCCATGGGTCCGCCCCATGCAGAGGATTCTGGGAACTGATTGTAAATAGAGATTCGCGCATGCCATTTGACCACTGGTTTCCGCTTACCTTTGAGCTTCTCACCAAACATAGTAAGGAAGACGGTGAAGTTAATGGCCCCTGGAGCTTCCTTGATCATTTCTTCTAACTCTTCATTCTTGACATTCATGCGACCTATGATAGAAGAGTGTTCTTGTCACACTAAATGGAAATGGTGGCATTCAGCCATGAAGAATTATATAGCTGTAGGTGTGTGACATCACCCAGAGATCTGCACATGCACCTGAACGAATGATACGCAAACCACCGGTCCAAAATCTCTAACCTAATATTTTCTTTTCTTCAAAGTTGAATAGAGCTTGCAGCAAAGTGTAAAAACCTTAAGAGAATGAAATCACTGCTCATATTTTGAACCCAGGGACACGGTGGAAAACTCAAGAATTGTCGGGACAAGAAGAAGGCCACAGGATATAGAATGACTCCAAATTACAAAGGTTACGGGTGAAGGGAAAATCAGTTTATTGGCAGATGTTATTGCCTTCTAACTAATGATCCCAGAAGTGGCAGCACCTGAGGTTTTGGCAGAAATTTATTGGTTTGGTGGAGTGGCAGGCTTGAAAAAAAAATAAACTGGAATTAGAAATAATGTTAAACCTTTGGTGCAAAATTGCAGACCCGGGTTGGCTGGGTTTACCATATGGTGAAATAAACTTGGGAGTGTTTATTCAACACTTCATACACAAATGGCACCATCTCATTTTCTGTGTCGTCTCTGATTGGCTAGTATAAACCAACTAACACAAGAAGGTTCAGTCTTCCATCTTGATTCAAAACGGTATCCAATTCGATCCAAACATAGATGAAAACCTGCTCCTCAATCTCAGGAATGATCGTGAATAATAATAATAATAATAATAATAATAATTTTATTTCATTTATATCCTGCCCTTCCCGGTCAGAACCAGGCTCAGGGTGGCTAACATCAAAATATATAATACATTAAGACATAAAATTCAGCAATCGGCTGAAATACAGCTTAAAATAGGATTAAAATCAAAATAATGTGGTGACCAATATCCTAAGAGACATCCAAACGCACAGCAAACAAACAACTTTCCAAAATACATATTAGATGCCAGTACACCAAAAAGTTTGTGCTTTTTACCCAATGCAGCAAAGGTGTCTCTCAAGTCAGCCTTGTCAATGAAGCCATCTCGGTTCTGATCCATGATTGTGAAGGCCTATTGTAAAATACAAAGAGTGAGAGATTAGGGGTGGGGGATATTGCTTATAACTGTGTTGAATCCAACAAGGCGGAAAACCCTCTGTATCCTTCCGCATTTCGTAAACGGCTAACTGGGGTCCATTAATTTCAACACCTGTGCAGTGAATAAAACTTCAATGGGTTCAACACTTTGCGTATGCTTTCAAAACTAAAATACACATTTTATATGCACTTTGCTACGTTTTTTTGAGCCAAGAACAATATGACGAAATTTGGAGAAGTGTCTGGAGGCGGTTGGAGGATGGATGGCGGCTAATAGATTGAGGCTGAATCCTGACAAGACAGAAGCACTGTTATTGGGGGACAGGAGGCGGGCTGGTGTGGAGGACTCCCTGGTCCTGAATGGGGTAACTGTGCCCCTGAAGGACCAGGTGCGCAGCCTGGGAGTCATTCTGGACTCACAGCTGTCCATGGAGGCGTTGGTTAATTCTATGTCCAGGGCAGCTGTCTACCAACTCCACCTGGTAAGCAGGCTGAGACCCTATCTGCCCGCGGACTGTCCCGCCAGAGTGGTCCATGCTTTGGTTATCTCTTGCTGGGATTACTGCAATGCGCTCTATGTGGGGCTACCTTTGAAGGTGACCCGGAAACTACAACTAATCCAGAATGCGGCAGCTAGGCTGGTGGCTGGGAGTGGCCACCGGGACCACATAACACTGGTCTTGAAAGATCTATATTGGCTCCCAGTACGTTTCCGAGAACAATTCAAAGTGTTGGTGCCGACCTTTAAAGCCCTAAACGGCCTCTGTTCTGTATACATGAAGGAGCATCTTCACCCCCATCATTCTGCCCGAACACTGAGGACCAGCCCCGAGGGCCTTCTGGCGGTTCCCTCCCTGCGAGAAGCCAAGTTACAGGGAACCAGGCAGAGGGCCTTCTCGGTAGTGGCACCCACGCTGTGGAAAGCCCTCCCATCAGATGTCAAAGAGAAAAACAACTACCAGACTTTTAGAAGACATCTGAAGGCAGCCCTGTTTAGGGAAGCTTTTAATTTTTAACAGACCATTGTATTTTAATATTTTGTTGGAAGCCACCCAGAGTGGAGAGTGGCTGGGGAAACCTAGCCAGATGGGCGGGGTATGTATGTATGTATGTATGTATGTATAAATAAATAAGGCTAACTTCATTGTGGTCCATGTATTAGTTGAGCAAGTGCAAATCAGGTTGCTTTGCTTAAGAACACAGACCAAACGAAATCCTCACACATCCCAAGGTCAAGTGTTTTGCACAGCCTTAGGTAGAACTTACCTCTTTAAATTCTTGGATCTGGCTTTGATCAAACATAGAGAATACATTGGAACCACCTCCTTCCTTCTTGTGTCTGGCCATTTTGGGTGCCTGCAAATTAAGAATGAGATGATGATGATGATGATGATGATGATGATGATGATTATTTATTGAATTTATATACCGCCCTATACCCAAGAGTCTCAGGGTGATTCACAGAATAAAATGAAGTTATAAAACCACAAAATACCTAATAAAAACAACAACCCAATAGCCCCCCACCAAGAAAACTCCACCACATTTTAAAAGGCTATAGGATGTAAATCAGATCAAGCAAAGGCCTGGTTAAAAAGGAACGTTATTGCCTGGCACTTAAAGGTGTATAATGAAGGCGCCAGGTGAATTTCCCCAAGGAGAGCATTCCACAGATGGGGAGCCACTGCAGAGAAGGCCCCGTTCTCGTGTTGCCACCCTCCGGACCTCTTGAGGAGGAGGCACACAAACGAGGGCTCAGAAGATGATCTCAGGGTCCGGGTAGGTTCATATGGAAAGAGGCAGTCTTTGAGGTATTGCGGTCCTGAGAATAATCCTGGGAGGGGGACTATACCCAGGCACCCAGGCAGAGTGTGACTCTGGTCCTGATGAGAATTCAGACTGAAATGAATTCCACTTCAAAGTTGGAGTCCAGCAGCATTACAGACTACAATCCGCCCCAGTGATTTCCCTTTCCCTGGACCAGGCCCCCCAGCAAGGGTAGACCAGCAAAAAATATTGACACAGAATATAAAATGAATTGTTGTTGTTTAGTCGTTTAGTCGTGTCCGACTCTTCGTGACTCCATGGACCAGAGCACGCCAGGCACTCCTGTCTTCCACTGCCTCCCGCAGTTTGGTCAAACTCATTCTGGTAGCTTCGAGAACACTGTCCAACCATCTCGTCCTCTGGCGTCCCCTTCTCCTTGTGCCCTCCATCTTTCCCAACATCAGGGTCTTTTCCAGAGAGTCTTCTCTTCTCATGAGGTGGCCAAAGTATTGGAGCCTCAGCTTCAGGATTTGTCCTTCCAGTGAGCACTCAGGGCTGATTTCCTTCAGAATGGATAGGTTTGATCTTCTTGCAGTCCATGGGACTCTCAAGAGTCTCCTCCAGCACCATAATTCAAAAGCATCAATTCTTCGGCGATCAGCCTTCTTTATGGTCCAGCTCTCACTTCCATACATCACTACTGGGAAAACCATAGCTTTTACTATACGGACCTTTGTTGGCAAGGTGATGTCTCTACTTTTTAAGATGCTGTCTACGTTTGTCATTGCTTTCCTCCCAAGAAGCAGGCGTCTTTTAATTTTGTGGCTGCTGTCACCATCTGCAGTGATCATGGAGCCCAAGAAAGTAAAATCTCTCACTGCCTCCATTTCTTCCCCTTCTATTTGCCAGGAGGTGATGGGCCCAGTGGCCATGATCTTCGTTGAAAATGAATACATGATCTCATTTTTACGTTAATAATAGAAATGATAATATTTGTACTTGTTGAGATATTAAGACCTTAATGACAAATATCAATAAGGTAAGCACCCACACAATCATAGCTGGACTAAACGTACACATTAAACTTGTATATGTAATGCAACACAATTTGTATCACGCAACAACTTTGTTGCATTCACATGGCGTTCACTTACGACAACATACAAAACCCACAAATGTTTTTGCACATAAGATCTCCCAGTTTGCTCTGAACGCAGAGACTTTGTATGCGATGAGGAAGTGCTCCTTAAAAAGAGGAGGAGTTTTGTGTGGATAGCGTCATTATATAGTTTAGACACTAGGTGGCGAGAGACCTAATCGGGGTGCCAGTTTAAATGTAATATTGGGAGGGCCCAGGTAAGCCCTGACTATTGATGATGAGACACGGCTCACGCACACCATTTGAATAGCACTGCCCATCAAATTTGGGGACACCCAGCCCCCTCAAATATTTTTTGGGGCGCGCAAAGGGACCTCAGCCCCCAGGAGCCAACTCCATCTAATTATAACAGGTGGAAAGGAGTCAGGAGTTTCTTGTTGCTGTTCTTGTTTTGAGAGAGACGACAAAGTTCTTATCAAAACCCTTTTTCTGTTTCCTTTCCTCGGTTATCTGTCAGGGGGTTCAAAGGAGTTGTAACTGGGACCACAGTAAAAAGGGGGGCATGGCTGGAGCTAGAGTGGGGTAGGCCCCTTCTTCCCCCCTCTTTTTCTGCCACTCTTTCACCCCGCCCCCAAAAGTTACAAATGTCATAATAACGGACCTGGATTTTTGAGGATTCTGTATTGCTGTCATTTTTAAATTCAAGAAAAACAAAGAGTTAAAAAAAACACCACACTTTAAAATAAATACTTTAAAATAAATGAAACAGTGTGCAAAGATAAAACCAGAGGTTGATGCAAAGATGCATTATCCTTGTTAAGGATTTTCTCTGCAATAATTCTTTGCATTTCTCCTGGCTGCCGGGCTTAGAGAAGGGGAGAAATGAGAGCAATGGACTGACGCAGTTGAGCAGACTGTGTGAATCACCCTTGCCATCCAGGGACTGAGACAGGACGGAGACTGTGTGTGTGTCAGCAGAGAGGGGGCTAAACAAAACTAAGACCAGAACCAGAGGCAGTGTGGAGCAGTGGTTAGAGCGCTGGACTGGGACCTAGGAAACCGGGGTTCAAATCTTCACTTGGCCATGAAGCTTACCAGTCACTGCCCCTCAGTCTGACCCACCTCACAGGGTCGTTGTGGGAATTAAATGAGGAGGGGGAGACCCATGTACACCACCTTGAACTTCTTGGAGGAAAAGGTGGGATATAAATGCAATAAACAAACAAACTTGCAGACAGCCAATGAAGCTGCATGTTGGAAGTTTCAGGGTGGGGTGGGGGAATAAAGGACTTCTTCATGCAGTGCATAAACTATGGAACTCCTTGCCACAGGAGGCAGGGATGGACACAAACTTGGATGGCTTTATAAAAAGAGGGGGGGCTGGAGAAATTCATGGAGGAAGTGTCTGTCAGCGGCAGCATGGTGGAAGGCAGCAAAGCTTCTGAACAGCAGTGGCTGGAAACCTCAGGAGGGGAGAGGGCTCTTGTGTTCGAATCCTGCCTCTGGGCTTCCCATCGGGGCATCTGGTTGGCCACTGTGAGAACAGGACGCTGGACTAGATTGGACCCTGGGCTCATAGAAAGAGCTGGAAGTCCCCTGGAGAGTCCTGCCGTCATCTCTGTTTCCCTCCCCCGGGATTCCATTTGGATCCGGTGTGCTGCGATCTTTTGATCCTCTCCTTTTATGGACGGCATTCCATACCTCTGATCATTATTTTTTTTTATTCCTCCTTTTCCAGTTCTAGCTATAATTAGATGATAAATCTAATCCAGGCTTATGCCTCAGTTCACGGTGTCACGGCAGAGATGCCGGCGAGGTGACGTTTAGGGGGATCCAAGAATGGAAAAGAGAGTTTTGTGTTCCGAGTTAAGAAAGAAAGAAAGAAAGAAAGAAAGAAAGAAAGAAAGAAATTCATAGGGACAGTGGGAGGAAAGGGGAATTATTTGCATGCACAGTGGGGGGGGGGAAGGAATGTCTTCAGTTTCAGGCAGCAAGCAACTGCCTGCCAGGATAGAAGCTTGGAAAGTGGTGGGGATTATTTAGCCATGATTCCTGCATTGCGGGGGGTGGGGGTGGACTAGATGGCCCCTGGGGATCCCTTCCAACTCTACAATTCTATCATGCTATGGCATATAAATTTCGTGAAATAAACAAGGAAGTTCATTATCTACCCTGGAGAAAAGTGGACCGCAAGAGCCCATGGCAACAACACTCCCCCATCAGACCAAAGCTTTGGCATACTCTTCCCCACGGAGGCCAAACGAATGCCCACAAGCAAGGCTTAAATCTGATGGGATCCCCTAGTTATCTGTGCCCAGCACCTGGCATCCAGAGATAGACTTCCTCTGAACAAGGAAGTTCCATTTAGCCATCCTGTCCGATAGGCATCAATTGACCCAACCTCCCGATCCTCTTTGAATAAGAACATGCCCGACTGATGGGTCACAGAAACATACCCTTCAAGGGTCCCTATTTTCCTGGGACATTCAGGGAATTACAGAAGCCATCCTGGCTTCTGGTTTCATCCGGGAGTGCCCCGTTTCCCCCTTCCAACACTGCCGCTGAGCACGGGAGGAAGAGGAGGAGAAGCCGGTCCTTGCGCTTATTGGTGGAACCCTCCTGAAGCTGAACCCTTGCGCATGGGGGTGACATTTCCCCTCCGGAGCGGAGGTGTGGATGTGCGCTCTTGCTCACACTGAGAGCCAGTGTGGTGTAGTGGTTAAGAGCGGTGGACTCGTAATCTGGTGAACCGGGTTCGCGTCTCCGCTCCTCCACATGCAGCTGCTGGGTGACCTTGGGCCAGTCACACTTCTCTGAAGTCTCTCGGCCCCACTCACCTCACAGAGTGTTTGTTGTGGGGGAGGAGGGGAAAAGGAGATTGTTAGCCACTTTGAGACTCCTTAGGGTAGTAATAAAGCGGGATATCAAATCCAAACTCCTCCTCCTCCTCCTCCTCTTCTTCTTCTTCCTGGCTTCTCTCTGCTGCCGCCAAAGCTGCCACCACTGTCATGGTGGCATGAGGTGTGGCGTAGGCAGAGGAAGCGAGCAAGGAGGAAAGGGAGTGAGCATCTGCCAGGGAGAAGTTGTGGCAGGGGAGGCAGCCAACTAACTCAGGGGCAGGGGAGGCAGTCAGCTGAATTATGTGGCAGCGCAGCACCAAAAGATACACACCCCGATTTCCAGCTGAAAAATGTTGCAGAGGTTTACAAAAGGTTTGCCTAGTCCTGCATTCAGGTCATTCGGGAAAGCAGGGTTGGAAGGCAGTAGCCTTCTCCCAGGGAATAGGGAAATAACTTCCCCTATGAGGAAGGGTTATAACATTTCCCCCACAGGGTTGCCATATTTCAAAAAATGAAAATCCGGACACAAAAAATATTTTTTGGCAAAATTGTTGAGCTTTTCCTGAGGTGGGGGGGGGGGGTTCTGTCCAGATAATATTTCTGACAAACAATCCCAGATATGTCTGGGAAATCCTGGATGTATGGCAGCCCAGTTATATTTTATTAAATTTTCAAAACAATCCCATACGTACTCCAATACATAATGATTTTTTCCTTTGGTTTTGTCCACTTCCCACCCCATTTTCCATGGTGTTTTTTTATTTCTCCCCCTTGCTGCACCCTATCTTCTCTCACCGCAACGACAATACAATGCTTTCTCATTCCTCCTGTTCCTCAAATCCAGCTTGTGAATTCATCATACTATAGTATTTCTTTAAATAATCCGAAAAAGACTTCCATTCATGGAAGGGTTATAACATTAGAGGCTTTTTAGTATGGGGGGAAAGACGAGGAAGGGGGGGAGGAAATCTATAAAATTATGCATGGAGGTGGGGGGGGGGGAGGAACTGAAGTTTTTCTCTCTCTTTCATAGCACCACAACCCAATGGGGTCATCCAAGGAAGCTGATTAGCAGGAGAGGGAGAAAAGGCAGACGGAAGATTTGTAGGGTCTGAGGAGAAACTAGCGCATGAAAGTGGACAGGGAGGAAGTTTGTCTCCTCCTCACAAGACTTGAACTTGGAGATCCTCCAAGCAAAGTGGATGATTCAGGACAGAGAACAGGGAGGCAGCTGCCTCTGCAATGAACTTGCTGAGGAACCGGCTACCAAAAGATGAACTCCACGTTCACCCATTTAAAGTACTACAATAACCGCTGTAAACCGCTGTAAAGCCCTAAATGGCCTCGGGCCAGTATACCTGAAGGAGTGTCTCCACCTCCATCGTTCTGCCAGGACCCTGAGGTCCAGCGCCGAGGGCCTTCTGGCGGTTCCCTCGCTGCGAGAAGCCAAGTTACAGGGAACCAGGCAGAGGGCCTTCTCGGTAGTGGCGCCTGCCCTGTGGAACGCCCTCCCACCAGATGTCAAAGGGGAAAATACCGTTTTTTTTCGCTCTATAAGACGCACCAGACCACAAGGCGCACCTAGTTTTTGGAGGAAGAAAACAAGAAAAAAAATATTCTGAATCTCAGAAGCCAGAACAGCAAGAGGGATCACTGCGCAGTGAAAGCAGCGATCCCTCTTGCTGATCTGGCTTCTGGGATAGCTGCGCAGCCTGCATTCACTCCATAAGACGCACACACATTTCCCCTTACTTTTTTGGGGGGGGGGAAGTGAGTCTTATAGAGCAAAAAAATACGGTAACTACCAAACTTTTAGAAGACATCTGAAGGCAGTCCTGTTTAGGGAAGCTTTTAATGTTTAACAGGTTATTGTATTTTAGTGTTTTGTTGGAAGCCGCCCAAAATGGCTGGGGAAACCCAGCCAGATGGGTGGGGTATAAATAATAAATTATTATTATTATTATTATTATTATTATTAAACAGTCATGGCTTCCCCCAGCGGATCCTGGGAACTGCAGTTCATTGAGGGTGCTAGAGTTGTTAAGAGACCCTTGTTTCCCTCACAGTTACAGTTTCCACGTGAAGAAGGATTGCTTGTTAAACCACAAAGGGAACTGTTTCTAAATTTGCACAAATTACATACTTCAGAACGAAGTGGTAGAGGCCGTGAGGCGACGTGTTGGGCTAGGGCCCGTTCAGCCATGAAGCTCGCTGGGTGATCTTGGGGCCAGCCCTTATCTCCCAAACTAACCTACCTCACAGGGATGTTGTGAGGAGAAAGTGAGGAGAGGGGAAGGACTGAATAGCTGCTATTCTAGGATTCCCCTTCCCCAGCCCTCGAGATTCAGGGCCGCCACAGTTCCCCGCCTTGCAGCGATTATTGTCTTACTTCTGACAACAGAGGTTTGTCTCCCAGTAATCGTTTGAAAGTAGCATTACAGAAAGAGCTGAAACTTTACGATGCTATAAAACCCCAGTAATATTTATAAATCCTTTTAAGACATCGTAAAGTGTGAGAGGTGGGGAGGGGGAAGTGGGGGGTAGGGGTGAGGGGCGGAAAGCCTCCCTGCAGAGCTCATTTGGCATAATTACATGTACATTTCTCTCTGATTAATAAAGAATGATCGTTTCCTTATGTATAGACGTCCTCGGGTTGCTTTCATTAAGAATATTACCATCATTACTTGGGATAGGAATGGATTTCCCCCCTACCCTTTTTGCCATTTTGAACATGTTTGATGCTTCCCTGAGACTCTGTGTGCTTCAGAAAGTATTTTTTAAAGCACAAATTTATCATTATCATCATCATCATTATTATTATTATTAATCCCTCTTTCCATTTTAAAAAATGAACAAAAAGCTGCTTACAATGCAAAATAACCACAAAGATAAGAAGGGGAGCAGGCCTTCACAGGACCTGGAGACATAGCTGTCATCTTTTCCCTTTTCTTGCGAAGAATCCTATTCGGAATAAGGGAATTTCCCTTAAAAAAAGGAAAATGTTGACAGCTATGCTTGGAGAGAATCATAGAACTGTAGAGTTGGAAGGAACCCCAAGGGTCATCCAGCCCACCCCCCCATGCAGAAAATGCAGCTAAAGAACCCCAGGCAGATGGTCATCCATCCTCTGCTTAAAAGCATCCAGTGAAGGGTAGAAGGCTCCCCAAACTTCCACTTCTCAAAACATTTCTTCTCCTGTGAAAGAGCCTCCCATTTTTTTCTCCCTCCAGAATTTTGGTGGGTTAACCCTTGAACGTATCTTACCATAGAGAGGTGACCACCTTGCAAAGCACTCAGAAGGCTCCCCCCAGTTTTCTATTAAACATTAATCCAGCACCCTGCAGCCTCCCTAGCTGCCCGCCCTTATTTATCTTGTTTACTGAAAAGCAGTTGCAGACGGCTTAGCATTTTAGATGATCTGTAAGCCTGTTTTCTGTTAATCTCCCTGATCTGAAAAATCCCCATGGGAGAAGTTACTTCCTAATATCTTCCAACTGAGCATTATTTTCAGGCGAAAGGCTATGGCTCAGTGATAGAGCATTTCCCTTAGGTCCCAAGTACAATCCTCGGTATCTCCAGACAGGGCTGGTAGAGAACCCTGCCTGAAACCCTGGAGAGCAGCTACCATTCAGTGTAGACAATACTGGGCTACATGGACCAATGCTCTGACTTAGTATAAGGCAGTTCCATATGTTCCTTATTGAAGCTGGGGTGGCTGCCTTCTGAGCACCTGAGACTGAACACCGTCACGGATTTCTTCTTAAGGGAAATCTTTCCTTATAGCTAACCCCCATCCCCACCCCTTTCAGAACTGATTGTTTTAAAACTGACCCACTTCACTTAAAAAAAAAGAATGACTGTCAGGCACAGAGCAGCCAGCCTCCCCACCTTCCAATAGAAAAGCCAGCTGAAGATATCCATGAAGCTTTCAGGAAACCTGGGCACCCAAGGAGGCTGCAGAGCACAGGCTGCCAGAACGATGATTTGCAGCATGAAATAAAAGCCTCCCCTGGCCACCTGGAAAGCAATGAAACCCCTGCCCCCCCTCCCACCTCCAAGAACATCACCAAAATGTTCTTTTCCCTTTGATAATTTTTAAATGCAATTTTTTTGTTTCTTAGTAATTGAAGGAGAATGGTTAAAAAACACAAAACAGAATAAATTTTTGGCCACAGCACCAAGGAGGAAAGGAAGAAGGAAGGAACTGATTGCGAAAAGAAGACATGGGTTGCGCAAGATTAAATATAAGGATGAATTTGCTTAGCCTCCTAGGGAAGGGAAGGAGGGAGGAAGGAACCTACCATATTGGAGTTCTTCAGCGCTGCTATCAATCCACCAGTCAAACGACACAATGACTATTGTCCCTCTATATATAGCAGCATTTGGGAGTAAAAATATGCTCAGCCCAAGTTTAGACAATAGATGTGAGACTGGAGAAGGGCAGCAACCAGACCACACTGCCATTCCAGACATTTCGTCCCAACTGGTAGCCTTGCTTCCATAGAATTAACACCTGGCAGATAACTCTTTCCGGAGAGCAGTGACAAGAGCAGTTGCAAAAGTGAAATTCCACATGGGCAAGATCTTCGGGAGAGAAAAGGATGGGGAGGGGTGTTTTCGTGTACAACACTGATCCTCTAGTGGATCAGAACTTGGTTAAGAAACAGGAAGAAGGGAGTAGGAATAAATGGAGCATTATCCCAATGGAGAAAGTGGAGTTCCTTCAAGGACTCTATTCCGAACTTAAAAATGGTAATGCTGGTGGTCAACAAAAGAGGTTTAAAGACTGTCTCAAGGCAAATTTTAAAAAATGTAGTACAAACACTGACAACTGGGAAACACTGGCCTGCGAGCTCTTCAGTTGGAGAACAGCCTTGACCAAAGGTGTCATGGGCTTTGAAGACACTCGAACTCAGGACACAAGGGAGAAACATGCTAAGAGGAAGGCACGCTTGGCAAATCCTCACCGTGATCAGCTCCCACCCGGGAACCAATGTCCCCACTGTGGAAGGACGTGTGGATCCAGAATTGGCTTCCACAGTCACTTACGGACTCATTGTTAAAACCGTGTTTATGGAAGACAATCTTACTCAGCTACAAGTGAAGAAGAAGAAGGTGTTGGGACCTGTGCTTTTTAACTTGCTCATAAGCAATCTCAAGTTAGGGATGAGCGATGAAGGGGCCGTCTGCTGACGATATGAAATCGTTCAGGGCGGTTAAAACACAAAAGGAGTTGTGAAAAAGCTCCAAAAGGATCTCTCCAAATTGAGTCAATGGGCTGTAAAATGGCAATGCAATTCAGCACAAACAAGTGTAAAGTGATGCATGTTAGGGCAAAAAAATAAAATAAACCCTAATTTCACATATGCGCTCATGGAGTCTGAACCGGTGCTGACTGATCAGGAGCAGCACTTTCAGGTCATAGCAGATAGTTAGATAACGTGTGTGGCAGCTGTGGAAAAGGCAAATCCCATTTAGAAAAGGAACTGACGATAAAAATGCCAGTAATCCTACAAATCTATGGCGTGGCTTCACTAGGAGTGCTGTGTCACCTTATCTCAAAAAAGGATATTGCAGAGTCGGAAAATGTTCAGAAAAGGGCAAGTCAGATAATCAAAAGGATGGAGCAATCCCGGAAAGATGGGGGCATTTGGGACTTTTTAGCTTAGAGAAAAAGGCGACTAAGAAGTTCATAAAAATATGCGTGGCATGGAGGAAGTGCGTAGATGAAAGCTCTCTCTCTCTCTCTCTCTCTCTCTCTCTCTCACACACACACACACACACACATATACACACCTCTCATGACACTAGAACTTGTAAATATCCCATGGAGCTGAATGTCTGAAGAGTCAGGGCAGAAAACAGAAGGAAATTCTTAATGCGGCGCATGGTTACTCTGTGGAACAGGCTCCTGCAGGAAGCAGTGATGGATGGTCACCAGCGGGAATGACTTTCAAAGTGGATAAGACAAATGAAGTTCTATTTTGTTATTTGGGTTATATGGGTAAGATTTAGTAAAAATACATTACAAAAAGTAGACGAGTCAAATTCATGAAGGATACGATACGATACAATAACCTTTATTGTCATTGTCCCATACAGAACAACGGAATTGAAAAAATCTGCATCAGACATTCAAAAACCAACAAGCCTGCTATCCCAGCCTGGTTAACCCCCTAAAAACTCTGATACCCCGTAATTAAATACAATATATTCCCATAGAGACTACCTTACACTGCATTTAAAACCAAAATCGCATTTGGATAGAAACTGTTTCTCAGGCGGCTAGTCCTAGTCTTTATAACCCTGTACCTTCTTCCAGAAGGCAGAAGCTGAAAGAGATCATTTCCGGGGTGCGCACTATCCTACACTATCTCTGCAGCTTTCTTATGACACCTGGAAGCGTAGATTTGATTCAAGGTGGGAAGAGTGCACCCAATTATTCTCTCTGCAGTCTTTACAACCCTGGACAGCATTGTTTTTTCCCTGACCGTGCAGCTCCCAAACCACACACAGAGACTGTAAATTAATACACTCTCAACAGTAGAATAGTAAAATGTCATCAACAGGTCCTTTGAGAGATTATTTTTCCGGAGGATTCTCAGAAAATATAACCTCTGCTGTGCTCTCTTCATCAAACAGTAAAGACCTGATGAAGAGAGCACAGCAGAGGTTATGGGGATGGGGATATCGATGGCTTCCAACCCCAATGGTTATGCTCTGCTTCTGAATACCAGCAGGAGGGGAGAGAAGACTCTTGGGCTCACGTCCTGCTTGGGGGTTTCCTGTAGACATTTTGGTTGGCTGCTGTGGGACCGGGTTGCTGGACCAGGTGGCCCACAGGCCAGATCCAGCAGAGGTCCACTTATAAAAGTGTGGCTTCGAGTGCTTATATCCGTTTGTGGCAAGTCCCGGATGCTCCCCCCCCCCCATAACTGCTGTCGTGGCTTTTGGGTCGTGACTTACAATGACGCAACAGCCAAGCGCAGCCTTGTGGCTGTCTCTTCCGCTGAGCCCGTAGAGCCAGTATCTAATCTGACAAATATGGTGCTCCCTTTCATCCTCCAAGGTCACTTTCTGTTACTTACAGCTTGTCGCACTGCGTCAAGAGGGATAATCTGTCATGAATGAGAAGCAGACTAATCCAAACAAGCGTGGGGGGCAGGTGACATAATCTGATGTGGCTGTGGAGGAATGCCTTGTTATGTCCACGATGTGCATTTCCATTTGGTATCTATTTTTCTACAAGAAGCACAGAGCGTTGGCGACGGGGTGTGTGCGTTAGAAACGTAGGAAGCAAGACCATCCAGTGCTGAGTTGAATGGGAAGCTGTCCTCGTCCCAACTCAGACCGGTGGTCCATCTATCTCAGTATCGTCTACACTGACTAGCAGTAGCTCTCTGTGGTTTCAGGCAGGGGACATGCCCCCAGCCCGACCTGGAGATGCCGGGAATTGAACTCGTGACCTCCTGAGTGCAAAGCAGTTACTCTACCTCTGGGTTACAGTTTGTTCCCCCGCCTACCTTCCTCTTTTTGTGTCCATTCATGGACACAATGGCTGCTGCAGAGCTACCTTTGAAAAATATCCTCCATGTATCAAAGTGCTCCTGGTTTGCTCCTCACTTACCTATTGTCGGGCGTTTGGTGGGTCAGTCTAGATGATGCCCTGAGTCCCCACCAGTTCTTGAGATCTTGTCTCTGTGAAGGTAAAATGTACAGTGGTACCTCGGGTTAAGAACTTAATTCACTCCGGAGATCCATTCTTAACCTGAAACTGTTCTTAACCTGAGGTACCACTTTATCTAATGGGGCATCCCGCTGCCGCCGCCACGTGATTTCTGTTCTCATCCTGAAGCAAAGTTCTTAACCCGAGGTACTATTTCTGGGTTAGCGGAGTCTGTAACCTGAAGCGTCTGTAACCCAAGGTACCACTGTATAACAGCAAGCTTGCCAAACCCAGACCCTTTGTCTAGATAATGGTTTTGGGGAGACTAGTTAAGTAATTTTATGTACTTAGTTGAATAGGATCCAAAATGCAGCAGTCTGATTGGTCCTAGAACAATAGGATTCAGAATGCAGCAGTCTGATCCACAGGTGCCACCCAATCCAGCTCCAGGTGGAAGGGAACCCGTGACCTGATTGGCCTACAGGAGAATCCTGGAATGAGCCAATCACGTGGGGCCCATTGTGTAAATAATGTATATAAAGCAGACATTCTGGGGGAACTTCCATTCCTCCTCAGCACTATGAGCTGAATAAAGAGCATGAAATCCACTCTCGACTCCGAGTTTATTTCAGTAACACGGTTACCATAACCAAAGGAGTTGCTCCGTGCCATAGAACAAATTGGTGGGCCGCCTCCCATCTTGCAAACCTTGCTGCTAGCTAGGAGAATGAGAGAGAGAGAGAGAGAGAGAGAGCTGGGCTGGAAGAACAGGCTGGAAGCTGCAGACACAGAGACCTGCTTGCTCTGTGCTGGATTGAAAGTTGCAACCAATCGAGAAGCAGAATATGTTGGGTTGTTAACAGACTCATGCAGAGCTTGTCTGACACCCAGGGCAGGAGTCTAGTTAGAATAATGTTATGAACGCAAACAAAAGAAGAAGCCAGTCCCTAGCAGCGATCCCTGGATGCATAATCGTCTGAGACCTGGGGCAAGTGTACCTGGCGCACCCCCCTCTCTGCCTGGGCCTGGATGCTGCGAGACCTTCCATCTTATGCCCAGGTTGTGTGTGTTGTTTAGTCGTGTCCGCCTCTTCGTGACCCCATGGACCAGAGCACACCAGGCACTTCTGTCTTCCACTGCCTCCCGCAGTTTGGTCAAACTCATGCTGGTAGCTTTGAGAACACTGTCCAGCCATCTCGTCCTCTGTCGTCCCCTTCTCCTTGTGCCCTCCATCTTTCCCAACATCAGGGTCTTTTCCAGGGAATCTTCTCTTCTCATGAGGTGGCCAAAGTATTGGAGCCTCAGCTTCACGATCTGTCCTTCCAGTGAGCACTCAGGGCTGATTTCCTTCAGAATGGAGAGGTTTGATCTTCTTGCAGTCCATGGGACTCTCAAGAGTCTCCTCCAGCACCATAATTCAAAAGCATCCATTCTTCAGCGATCAGCCTTCTTTATGGTCCAGCTCTCACTTCCATACATCACTACTGGGAAAACCATGGCTTTAACTATACAGACCTTTGTTGGCAAGGTGATGTCTCTGCTTTTTAAGATGCTGTTTAGGTTGTGTATATGTGTAAATAAAGCCTTGTATCCTAAAGACCCCACAGTCTCTGTTGGCCTTCATTCAAAGGAAATTGAACCCTGGGTAAGCGCCTGGAGTATCTCACCACTCAGAATTGGGGTGTAACAATAGTTTGTGCCCATATTAGGCTGGTGCCCCAGCTACTTATGGATAGATGGGGGTGGGAGTTAGGGACAACATACCCCTCTGCAGAAGTAAAGGCATAAGTATCTCCTTCCTTTAGGAATGTCTAGTGGAGGACTTGATGCTCTCTCTATGCCTTTGCCATAATCTTGTTCTGGATAGGATTCATGTCTGCAAATGCTAATTAAAGTCAAGGAGCATTAGGAGGGCCATAAATCTTTTCTTTCTAAGATGATACACACACACACACACACACACACACACACACACACATTGCTGCACATCAGTTGGTGACAGATGAGATGGAGGGAAAGTGTCCTCAAGGATGCCTGAACTGAACAATTATGGTCTAGTCAAAAGAACAGAAGAGTCGGGAGCAATGCTCTCCACAACAAGAGAAAGGTAGCTGTAGCTGAGGGGTAGGCAACCTACGGCCCATGGGCCGGATGCGGCCCAATCGCCTTCTAAATCTGGCCCGCGGACGGTCCGTGAATCAGCGTGTTTTTACATGAGTAGAACGTGTCCTTTTATTTAAAATGCATCTCTGGGTTATTTGTGGGGCATAGGAATGCGTTCATATTTTTTTTCAAAATACAGTGGTACCTCAGGTTACATACGCTTCAGGTTACAGACTCCACTAACCCAGAAATAGTGCTTCAGGTTAAGAACTTTGCTTCAGGATGAGAACAGAAATCGTGCTCCAGCGGTGCAGCAGCAGCAGGAGGCCCCATTAGCTAAAGTGTTGCTTCAGGTTAAGAACAGTTTCAGGTTAAGAATGGACCTCCAGAACGAATTAAGTACTTAACCTGAGGTACCACTGTATAGTCCGGCCCACCACATGGTCTGAGGGACAGTGGACCAGCCCACGGCTGGAAAAGGTTGCTGACCCCTGGTCTAGCTTCTAGAAACATAGAAGCATAGAGTTCTACAATTCAGCATGACTGAACACATGTGAGACTGATGTGGCACGGAAGAGAAGCTGATCTTTCCATCCCTTTGCAAGACACCTCCAAGGGAGGTAAGGATTGCTCAGGTCTCCATATTGATCGCTCCGTATTGATTGTCCAATGGCAATGGCAGAGTCCAAATTAGCAGCTCACTGCACACACACATTGAGTGCTAATTGGTTTCACCCAGTGGGATAACAATCTCAGATGCCTCTGTTTTTTAACACGGAAGATCAATCAGCCACTGAAGGAAGCTTAAAGCAGCACCATCGCTTGATGAAAGCCATCAAAGCCCGTGCATTGCAAATTTATTTATTTATTTTATTGTATGTATTTCAGAATTTACAAACGGCTGTACGAGAGGACGCGCTAGCGGTGCGTGGAAACAGAACATAAAACGTCGTGCAGATGATAAATAAAATATTTGAAAAGCAAGAATTAAAAACCGTGGAAATAAAACAGGCTAATTTGGGAAGGTGAAATGAAAAGCTTTCAATCAAACGTCTGGCGATTTGCTATCCCTGAGAAAATAACCCATAACTTAAAAGTGATGAAAGGAAAACAAAAAATGGACACCTTTTTATGTAATTGAATCAATCAATCAATCAATCAATCAACCTGAATTGTTATAATCACAAATCAGCCACTAAATTACAATCAAACAATAGATGGGTCTAGGCTGCTCTTCCCCATCTCATGATGTTCTTCCTAGGAAGCAGAGAATGCAGGCTACCGGTGGGGGAGTCTTCCCTCCTCTGCTCCCTCCTCCCTTCTCCCAATTAACTTCCATCTCCAGGGCTCAATGGTGGCAGGGAGGGCAGAGGAAGACTCACCAGGGACCTCCTCTTGTGACATCACCCAGGGCAGGCCCTAGGTCTCAGGTTTGGACCCTGAAATCAAAGCTTCTTGGACGCTCCTGAGCCGGCTGATGGAGGGTCCAAAGTGTGCTCCCCTGGCATATAGAGCCAAGACTTCTTCTTTTGCTGGCAGGAAAGAGGGAAGCAAGCTCCCTGCGGCTGCTCCCAGGAGGGAGCCAGCCTGGTCTTCCCTTTGCTAAGAGGGAGAGGGGATTCCAACCTTCCAGCAACAGGGCTGCCATACTTCCAGCGCTGACCTGAATCCAGGTTTGCCTGGCCCCTTCCAGGTGGCGGGGGAGGACTTGACTTATTATGGCAGTGCATACAACTATGCATGCAGCCAGCTGCAAATTCTTGAATAGGCTACCGGTGTGGGAGTCTTCCCTCCTCTGCTCCCTCCTCCCTTCTCCCAATTAACTTCCATCTCCAGGGCTCAATAGTGGCAGGGAGGGCAGAGGAAGACTCACCAGGGACCTCCTCTTGTGACATCACCCAGGGCCGGCCCTAGGTCTCATGTTTGGACCCTGAAATCAAAGCTTCTTGGATGCTCCTGAGCTGGCAACCCTATCCAGAAATCCAATAATAATAATAATAATAATAATAATAATAATAATAATATCCCACCCATCTGGCAAAAGCTTGAGCTTCCTTCTCTCTTCTTCAGGTAATGGCAACCTGTTCTCCTAGCTCTGGTGGGCATCATTCACTGCCTGCATACGAAAAAGCAGAATGAACTATGAAAAATATAACAGATGTGTGCTTAGTCTGTATATAATGTATGCAAATTTACAAGGGCCACCTCGTTTAGCTTTGCTTCCTTCAGAAGGTAACTTGGTGCAGATCCTGGTTGACTTATCCCAAGGGCAGCGCATCAGAGCCCAATCCATGGGTTAAGTTCTTTTGCAAAAGTCCTGTTTTCAAAGAACGGGATGGCCGGGCTCTTCCACAAATCCCATTCTCATGCTTCTTTGAGGCATATGATGTGGGCGTGTCCAATGGTGTCCTCTTTCTGTGTCAGAAATTATTATTCATATTAACTTTGTTTTGGAAAAAGCCCTTAATACTGCAGATGTGCAGGCAGTCTTAGATTATAACCCTGTGGTGTGGGGAAGAACAGATGGACAACGAAAGTGGACCCAGCAAGGATTTGTGGTTGCAAAGAGAATGGGAGGCTGGAAAACTACTCAGCAGTTGGAAGATCTCACAGCCTTTCTGCATTTGGACATATGGGCTGCCTATATTAATTTACTGATTTAGGTCAGGATCACTGGAATACAGTCATACCTTGGATCTTGAACACCTTGGCTCCCAAACAAATCGGCTCCCGAACGATCAAAACCC